GAAAGAGCGTAGAGTGTAAACACAAAGTGTGTTCGTTGTGTGAATAGTTTGTAGTGCTGCTACTATTCGTTGTTGATCATTTTATCGTAGGAGATAAACGTCCACAATTTAAAAGTATCGTGGAGAGGACGAATCTGTCTTAAGGACATAATGTTAAACACTGGACTTGATCAAAAATTTGTTCGACAAATTAATAAAGTAAATAATTAATTTACTTTCTGTTTTATTATTTTTTTTCTTTTTCAGATTTCGATTTTGTTTTTGTAACAAAACAAAAATCTGTTGTTTTATTTTATTTTATATATACTGTTTTGATTTTTGTAATCAAATAACCTCTCTCTCTTTAATCTATTCTTCGAATACAGTGAAGATATTCCAACGAGGAGTCTTCCGCAAGGAGACCCTCTCTTCCCTTACCTTTTTATTCTTGTTACTGAGGGCCTCTCTCTCTCTCTCCCTCCTGTTGTTAAGGGAAATTCAAAGGACCGGCTGACAAGATTAAGACCAAAGCTTACAAGATGCTGGAAAGGTATTACCGTATGCTGCAACCAAAGAGTTCATATTAAAATCATACACAATTCTATCTTTCTCTGCTTGACCTCTCTCTCTTTAATCTATTCTTCGAATACAGTGAAGATATTCCAACGAGGGGTCTGCGGCAAGGAGACCCTCTCTTCCCTTATCTTTTTTGTTCTTGTTAATGAGGGCCTCTCTCTCTCTCTCCCTCTCTCCCTCCTGTTGTCAAGGGAAATGTGATGCAAACATCTCTCTAGGATTAAACTTACACTACAGGAAAAAAGGGTTACGGTGGCATTTTTTTAACGACGTTTTTTTAAACGTCACTGTTATTAACATTTAACGGCGTTTTATAAACGCCGCATATTCTTTTTAACCAAAACGGCGCCCAAAGCTAATAGAGGAGACTACCAACCCCTTAAATCTATTTTGGAGGTTTACAGCTTTGCATCAGGACAACTCATTAATGTTGAAAAATCAGGGATAATTTTTTAGGCTAATACGTCAGAAGTGGTGAAGAGCGAATACTGTGCTTACCTGGGAATCCCTTCAATGAACGGTGGCTCGAAGTACTTGGGTCTACCTTCTTTTTGAGGAAGATCAAGTCCGAAGCATTTGGGTTTTTAATTGAAAAAGCTGTGAATAAAAATGCAAAGATGGAAACAGAGTTTGTTGTCTCAAGCAGAGAAGGAGGTACTTGTCAAATCTGTTGTGCAGGCAATTCCTGCTTATGCTATGGCATGTTTTACCTTTCCAGAGAAGTTTAATGATCGTTTAAATTCATATACGAGTAATTTTTGGTGGGGTAGAGATCCTTTAGACCGTGGCCCTCACTGGGCAAGCTTGGACAGCTTGGGTTTGGCTAAATCAAAGGGAGGGATGGGCTTTAGAGATTTCAAAGCTTTCAATCTAGCCCTTCTTGCAAAGTAGATGTGGAGACTTATCACTCGTCCTCACTCATTCTGTGCTCAGATTTTAAGAGGGGTTTATCATCCACATTCAGATTTCCTAGCTGATTCTAGGGGTAGAAGTCCATCTTAGGCATGGGTAAGTATTCTCCAGGGTAGAGAGCTTCTTAAAGAGGGGCTACGGTGGCAGGTTGGCAATGGGAATTCAATCCATTTTTGACGTAGATGTGCCTCATCCCAATGCTATCCCATTTGGACGCCCAGAGAAGCAAATTGTGTAGCCCATTGGATTGCCTAAGCTCACTTGAGGGGTGCTCTCCCCTTTGGTTGGGTTAGATCTCCACCTGAATCTTTGAACGAGTTGTTGCTGCTTGATGTTTCTTTGTAGCGTTAGAGCTTTTACTAGTTCAACAACAAAAAAAAATAAATAAATAAATAAAATTATGTCTTAATATATTTAAGGGTAATTATAATATAAAATTTAAATAAAAAAAATTAAAAAAAAAACTCTAACATTTAACACTTGTAACAAAATAAATTTTTTATTCTTAATTTTGTCAATTTAATTTATAATCTTTTGATTTGCTTTCAATATAAACAATCAACCTATTTTTGCTAAGTAAAACCAATGAGAAAAAAATATTTTAGTCTTTAAACTCAATGTAAATGTATATAACATGTTTAAAATATCCCTTTTTTGTTGAGTTTAATGGCAAAAATACTATTTTTTTCGTCAATTATACTTAACGAAAATAAGCTGATGATTTAGATTGAAAACAAATTAAAAATTTAGGGTTTAAATTGATAAAATTCAAAATTTATTTTGTTACAAGAGTCAAATATTGGATTTTATTTTTATTTTTTTGTAATTACCCAAAATATTTATTTTGTCTCAACATTTTGTGATGATATTAGTAGCTGAAAAAATGAGCACGACTATATATATATGAAAAATGTTTCGGAACACTAAAAGGAGATCACTAAAGGGAGCACTAATGATGTGGCAGTGGGCCCCGCCCACTTTCTATGCCTTGTTTTTATTTTTTTATTATTTTTTTTGTCATTTCTAATGTATTAGTGCTATTAGTGATGTATTTTTTAGTGGTGTAAATCATTGTTGTATATATATATATATTAGAACAACTTAGCCTTGGATCCTCCAATTTAAACTTGTCCAAGAGTAGGATTGATTATATCTCAAAAATTCAAGCCTAACCATATTTCACCTAAAAAACACATACGTTAATTTCAATTTTATCTCCTATACTATTGTCATTTATTCTATTTTATTCTTAAACTCTCAATTTCGCCTATTTACTCGTTATAATTTTTTATGGTCCAAATGGAGACACTGATAACAACCATAGAACCTAACACCCATCTAATTGACCCAAAAAAAAAAAAAAATTATAATTAAATCATTTTAAATCATGTAATCGAACACCCATCTAATTGGTAGTAAGCTGTAACTTATTCAAAATAGTGAGGGAAAAAAAAGAAAAAAGTATTTGTTTATATAATTTAAGTTGCTCAAATTTTAAAATAATTTTTTTACCCATCAAATAAGGCTACCAATTATTAATACAATTATCTCTACCTGAACCACATAAACTAAATCAAAATTTATGGATGAAATTGATAATTCAAAAATTGAAATAGAGAGAATGTTAAAGTTTAAGGGATAAAAGTGATATTAACCTTAAAAATAATAAAATACAAACCTTAAAACATAATAAAAAATTAATTTACACCATATGTACCAAATAATAAAACACATACATTGTAATATAATTTAATTCATTAGTGAGAAAAAATTAATATTATATATATTTTTGTTCATTACATATAGTTTTTTATATATTAGAAATAAAATATTGTGAGAACTTCTACCAAACCCTATCCAAAATTTAATTGAAATTGAAGATCCTAATCATATTTAAAGTTATATTGCACTAACCACAAAATTTTATGATTAACTTGCAAATTTAAATGAGCAAATTATATTAGTAATCCCTATATTTTTACACTTACGTCATTTTAATTCTGCAATATCAATTAGTTTGATTTTTATTCTGAATTTTTAACTATGTCAATTTGATCCAATCAATTACAAATGTTATCATTATTTGATTGAAAATGTACATATAAGTGCCATGTGTTACATATTTAGAGGCAAAATCATAAACTTGATCGATTTAGTGAGTTAATCTCAACTAACTCATTGGTCATGCAAATTACAAACACCCCCTCGAAGTTTGGTAAAAATACAGATTCCCTCCTGAAGTTTGAGAAATTACAAATTACCTCCTGAGAGTCAAATTTTCATAACAAATTAGGGAAAATTAAGGGAGAATCTGTATAAAAATAAAAACCTCAGGGGGCAATTTGTTATGAAAATATAAACCTCAGGGGGTGGGATGGGAGAGAAACTGTATTTTTCATCAAACCTCAAGGGGAGTATTTGTAATTTGCCCTTTAAAGTTATATTGCACTAACCACAAATTTTTACGAATAACTTGCAAATTTAAAAGAGCAAATTATATTAGTAGTCCCTATATTTTTACACTTACGTCATTTTAATTCTGTAATATCAATTAGTTTGATTTTTATTCTGAATTTTTAACTATGTCAATTTGATCCAATCAATTACAAATGTTATCATTATTTGATTGAAAATGTACATATAAGTGCCATGTGTTACATATTTAGAGGCAAAATCATAAACTTGATCGATTTAGTGAGTTAATCTCAACTAACTCATTGGTCATTTTTTGTCAAAAAATCCTAATAACATTATCAATCGGATCAAATTGATATGAAGTCTAAAATTAATAGTCAAAAGTAAATTACTTGAAAATACAAGAATCAAAATGACACAAGGAACAAAATGTAAGACGTACTGACAAATTTGCCCAATTGCTCAAGTTGCATTTCTAGAATTAGAATTGCGTTCACCTGGCAAAATATGTGAACAATAAACACTGTCGTTTGTCTAAAACTAAAGCGTATTGACCCCACCAAAACGAATGTAAACCTTGTGTGTAAACAAAATCCATCTCTGATTACTCAATAAATATCAAATGTAAAAGAGAAGAAATTGTCAATTTTTTTCTGGTTAACCAAGTGAAGGCAACATGGAAAAGCTCTTACAAAGCCAAACAAACCACATTTAAAGTCAACAATCGATTCCACATACCAGTGCAATATCCCATCAAGCCACACTTGCCAACCATATCTCCACAACTACTCTCAATAATGTTGATGGCCTTATTAGTAATGAATCTAATAATATTCAGAAAATACTAAAAACCTTCAAGAGTCAAATCTCTACTCTTTCATATGAGTGAGATTGTGTTCAATTCTGTGATCAATTTTCATGTTCGTGGAATAATAGACATGAATCGAAGGAAGCAAAAGCAATCTCCAAAGACTGACAGTGACAGATACAGACAATGAGATTGGTAACTTTGTTCTCAGACGAAATGACCGAAACACGTCCAAAAAAATAGTTAAAAGCATTCACCATTCCCCCAAAAACTGCAAGACACACCCACATCAGCAGCACATGAAAAGCACTTGGAAAGAACAAGATATCCCCCCTTGATTAGGAAAATATGGATACAACATGGCAGACAAGAAGTGTTTTCGTTTTCATTTTTGAAAAACTGACATTAAGCATGCAGAAGAATAATACATAAAGCAACTCAGTTACATTAAGCTATTTCCTGTTCATTTTTGTAATTTTTTTTACCTAACTCAGAAAATCCCCGTAACCCAGCCTTACCTTTGTTGGGTGTGGAATTTAATACCAGAACGGAGAAATGTCAGTTCCAACAGGACTCATAAAGCAAAACTCAAAACCAACGATTTCTAGAGCTTGAAAATGCTCAAGTTGAAAAGAGTATAAAATGGACTAGGAAGTGTATTCACTGGCTGTAGGTAGCCTGTGCTCCGTTTCAGTCTTCCTTCTTGTCAGGTTCATCAATTGCAGCAAGTCTTTCAACAAGGGGAGGATGAGAATAGTGATAGGCAGAATACCAAGGATCAGTATTCATAGCTGACAGGTTCTCTTCCTGAAAAAGCCATTATTAGTTCGGTTAATCAGCAATTCAAACACTCATAACATTATGAAGTCCTATAACAATTATGAATTTATTATAATATGTTTAGAATAGAAGTATTTGACCACCCATAGTACTATTAAAAGAGATGAGGCTTTGGTCTGGCACAACTGTTAATCATATTATCTTATGCATATATCAGGACACAGCTGTATTGCAAACACACAAGTGCTATGTGGCCCCTGACAGGACAGGAAAAAAAATACTTGGTTATTAATATTATTTTCTTCCCCCGCCCTGCTCAAGATGCATGACCAATTTCCAGACCAATTTTGACTCACCATCAACAAGAACCAAAAAAAAGAGGAAAAAAGGGGGGAAAAAAAAGAAAAAGGAAAAGGCACATAGTCAAAGAACCACAGAAACAGAACAACGATAATTAATGATCTGTTTGTTTCAACAGGAAACTTATTCATGTTTGGTAATAGTGATGGAGTGGTGGCAGCAGTACTAGTGTGGCGGTGGTAGTAAAATTTTAGCCCGGAAAACATTTTCCACCTTTTAAAAGTGAAACATATTTAATTTCCGTTAACCATGGAAAACATTTTCCATTGTACCAAATGGCAGAAAATGTGGCCCAAACAAAAAAAGCGTAAATAAACAACAAATAACAAAAAAGGTAGCAAGTTCCTCTAAATACGGATGAACATAAACAATTCTACCACTTCTCCAAACTGTTGCCAATGGCCGCAAAAATCAAACATAACAAAGATAACAGATGACATATGAAAATAGAAGGAAAATCACCTGTAGTTTCACGAGTCCTGCTCGAAGAGGCGAGGCATAGCCAAGCTTCTTAGCAAAAGCATCAGCCTACAGCAAAATAAGAAAAATAAAAATTGCAAATTTATGGAGTACCAAGGAAAAAGACACTGAGTGAGACCCGTAACTAACTATTGTCTACACAGCAAACATTTACCTGAAATTCGAAGGACCGGCTGACAAGATTAAGACCAAAGCTTACAAGATGCTGGAGAGGTATTACCGTATGCTGCAACCAAAGAGTTCATATTAAAATCATACACAATTCTATCTTTCTCTGCTTGCCCCAAAACAGTAATTTCCCAAATTGTGATTTTAAACAGACAACAAAGATAGCATACATAAGACAACTACAGACTCATTTGCTATGCATCAAGTTTTCCCTGGGGTCCTAAACAAAGGTTTATAAACCACATCTAGCAGAATACTTGCAATATAAGTTTTAACTTCTTCAAATTGCACGGGTGTTGAACGTAGGGTTGTCACAATGATAACATTGGAAGTCAGTATCCAACTATTCATTCACGAGTGCCTTTTAAAACTAAAACTCCAGAATATAATATAAGGGCATGGCCTAATAGCTTACATAAGTTGCTTAATCAAAAATCCGAATTAAGAAAAAAATAATAAAGTGTGTTGGAACAAAGTGTGTTGCGTTTTCAAATCACTCCTACAAGATGGGGTACAACAAAAAGGCCAAGGCGATAAGAAAGGACATAATAGCCTCAAAGTTAAATAAGAAATGTCTTCTAATAAATAGATCCAACCAGAGGAAATGGATCCTCAAGTAATTGGGATGAATCCATGTTAAGTTCGATTGTTATGGTAGTAGCAAATACTAGCATACTGCAGACAAAGAAGAGTTTTCAAAATCAGTTTTCTGAAATATTTTCAAAAATTAGTTTGGTTAAAAGAATGGAAAAATTAAAAACACTCATTATTTTCATATGGTTCTCTCTTTCTTGTAAATCAGAACTTTTTTTTTTTAGGATTCAAAAGTATCTTTTCTTTGTGTTTATGTTTGCCATACTAAATTTTATTTTATTTTTTAAATTTTCACAATACAAGTTTTGAAAATTCAATAAACAGGCCCACCGATTTTGACAAGTGTTAATAATGTGCTCAACTCATGCACATGCAGCATTCATCCATGACATTTATTATTTGATGAATCAATACCTGGAAAATGATCAATCCAATGAGGACTGGTTGTGTGTCAAACCCAAAACTCTGAAACAGATCCTTCGAGTTCCTCACAAGAGTGTATCCTCCAAATTGCAAGAATGTGAGAATCTGCAATGGGGCACAAGAATAAGACAAAGTTTGAACTCAAGAAAGCTCCATCTCACAGCTGACAACAATTAAGGGTATCATCAGTAATTTGAAGTTTTCTACGAGACAACAAAGAATCGAAGGTAGAAAAAAAAACGCAAGCTACCCGAAACACAAATTCAATTTTTTACATTCTCACATGTGCCAATGTTTAGTAAGAGCAATAAAAGATCAAATAAGACGAATTCTTTGTCCTCTTGAAACACAGACATGGTTGAAATGTGATTTTAATATAATACTACCATTAAAAAAAATAATTACAATAAACAATAACATGAAAGAATTGTCTTTTTTAACAGAAAGATAACATATTAAAGAAGAAACTGATTAGTAATCAACATGCACCTCATACCACCAAACATGATTCTTATGATGAAAAAACTCTGATACAAATTGTTTGCTTGAATTGCATTTACCAAACCCAATTTTACACAAGTCAAAAAGGGGATATATCTTGTTGGGAAAATTATCTAGCAGTTTACGTTATTGGGCAACCATTTTTAATGGTATTAGCATTAAGGATATCGAAACTCAAGAGGCAAAGCCCAAAGATAACTCCTAAATAACAATAACTTAATATAATAAAATTGGATCCATAAGCATAAAAGAAAAAAATGAAAAGTAAAAGGAATCCCCAGTGCCCGAATCCTTCAAACTTATTAGTGGCAATCTTCAATGTTTTCAGGCCGGTAAATTGATGGCCTCTATCTGAATTTTTTCTACCATATCTCTGTTCAGATAAAATAAATTATAAACCATAATGTCAAAACTGGTGGAATGCATACTACAAAACGCAAAGGACTATTTCTTAATGAGAAACATTAAGATAGCATCAAAAGGAAATCCTGCCACGGACTGAAGACCTTTTTGTCCCACAAATGTAATTGGTAGAATATTATTATTATTATTTTTATTTTTTGATTGGCACCGGTGTGTCGGGATCAAAGCCCTAACTAATCTCCAAGGATGCACAGGCCCTTGGCAAGGAGTTTCCCGCAAGTGCACCACGGTTAATTTAAGGGGTTTTCTCCCAGTTCGAGGGCTCAAAGAAATTGTTAGCACCTAAGAGGTTTCGATCTTCGATCCCTGAACCTTGGAGGGAGTACACCCCCAAGATCTTGCCACTAGGCCAACCCCTTGGGTTGTAATTGGTAGAATATTATTATTAGTATTTAGTTAGATTTAGTTACATAAGTACTACTAAAAGGTGTTGATTCTATTTCCAAATAATATTAAGCGTGTTTCGTAATTAAGTTAGGGTTTTTGGTCCACATATTTAGGCTTTTGGCAGTGTAATATTCAGCTTTTGAACTAAAAATATTGACAGTTTTTTAGGCTGTGGCCGTTTGTGAGTTTTCTTCCTTTTCTCCCTATTATCTTCTTTGCAATCCAGACAATCTAACTTGCCTTCTAGCAAGATGGGTCTAGTTAGTAAAGTTAATAAATCTATGACAGTAGCGACCACTACTTATGCATTTATAACAGAAATGCATAGGGTTTGAACATTATTACTGTAACAACACAACAAATCATTTTGAAACATTCATTTGCTAAATAACAGTCGCATCATACCTGAACAGCAATGAAAGAGTACATTGTATGATTAAGTTTCCAGTGACCCAGTTCATGGGCAATTACAGCAACAACTTCCTCCACATTTTTGCACTGCATAAAACCACTAACTCAATCATACTAACTTTGAGAAATGCAACCAAATCAAATAATATGTGTATGTCTCGCACTATTTTAATTATGAACTCAAAACATGATCAATTAAGCATAACACAGTATGAACTCTCATCAATGATGACTAGAGATATATTAAATATAGACAGAATTTACGTTAGTTTGATTCTAAAATTCAGAAATGCTGTCAAAAGACTGTCTTGACCAGCCATACATAGCACCAACATTTCAAACTACTTTAAAAAAAATAAAAAATAAAAAACTTGCAAGAAGACTAATGATATCATATTCACAGACCACCTAAGAAATTTACTTCGAGAAATTCCATGCCTGATTTTCTGAAATTTTCAGTATGTAGTTCAGTTCCTACTCTGAATCTCCAAGGTGCAGATCTTGTTTAAAAACATTAATGGTGTGTTTGGTTAAAAGATTTGGGAAGGGATTTGGAAAGGGAAAGGAAAAATGTGTGTGAAACTATGTGAAATATATACATATTTTATTCACATTTCACCTATCTTTTCCATTTCCCTTTCCAAATCCCTCCTCAAATTCCCCAACCAAACATAGCATAAAAGAAATTTAGTTCTCTCATAATGAAACCTTTAGCCTACAGAACCTCAATTTTATTTATTTATAAATTTTATATATATTTTACATACGAAAGGCAGTCCCAGTGCGTGAGGCTCCCCAGCCACAACACAGTTAGGAAAGGATTAGATGTATGTAGCCATATCACCACATATGGAGAGGATGTTTCCATGGTTTGAACCCATGAGGCCCAGGTCGCTATAGAGCGACCTTATTGTTGCGCCAATGCCCGCCCACAACTAGAGATAAGTTTGAATCACCAAGATGCTAAAAGTCTTCACACTAAAAAACAGCATACAATATCACCACGAGAGAGAGAGAGAGAGAGAGAGAGAATTTCTTCCAAAATTCAGAATTGCAAAGTACATTTAACAAGTGTGTGCAAGGGAGAGGGGACAACATGTGCTACAAAATTAACGGCAGTATTACCAGATCATGTCACCTAATGAACTAGGCAATGCCAACAAAACCAAAAAAGCAAAAGCCAAATATGTTGATCATTTCTGCAGTGTCAAAACCTATAGACAATTTTTTGTGTATATACAGTTGTACACACATGTTTTGTATATCACAGAATACGGAGTACATAAGCAACGCAACTTCTGATAAACACATAAGAATATCTAGGTCAGAAGAAAAAATACATACATAGACACATAACATGGGTTAGTGACAGGAAGGAATACAAAAAGAGATGAGGAGCACACCTAATGGGTTCCACAGCATATGACTAACAAGTCCACAGTAGCCTGAATAAAATATAATGAACATTTCACCTCAGAGGATTTGGCTTAATGTTTAAAGGCTTAACAGTTGTTTCCTATTTCTAATCTTAAACAATGGAATATCTTGCTCAGAAATGGGGATTACACAATGCGGAACAAAAATTCGGGAACAAATCTAAAACAATGGGCCAAGATAAGGTTCACATTGAATTTTGCAAACAGAGAAGACTAGGCTTCAGTCGGTAAAATATGGGCTTCAGTCAGTGAATACATGAACAATAATGCACCAAGATAAAAAAGTAATAGACATATGAGTCGGATACACCAATTCATTAAGAACCCAGCAAAGTAGCTTTGGATTCAATACAAATAAGGCATTGCACAAACCTAATACTGCTAGAAAAACAGAAGGCTTCATCCATATGTACAAAGTGCAAATAAAGAGTAATGTTTCCAGAGAAACAGTTTTTTGTAGAATTTCAACCGCGACCACATCAATGTCCTATTTTTTCTTACATAACAAAAACTAAAATGCGAAGATAAAATGATCACAAGGAGAATTCCAACAATTCACAAATGGATGCAAATTGGGGAAACGAATATCCTAATTTCAAACAAGATAAGCATCCAAACCTGCTGAATCAAAGTGTCGTAAAGGACAATGCGCTTATTCTTAAAGAACCCATACATATATGCCTGCATAATGTTGACAAGCAAGGTCAGTCCAAGACAAAAAATAATAGCATCTCAAATTCAAGTAATATAAATATTGTGCATGACCAAGTACGATATTCTTGTTCCCATCCCTAAACATGACGGTAATGACTTAGCGATAGAGAATAAAAGTGAAATTGTACACCTTTTTACATCTCGTCATTCTAAATCAATGTATCAACTCCATAACAATAACAAGGTTACAAAAAGCCCAAATAGAACCTCAAACTATTAGTTTGGAAAAACTCCACCATCAATTTAAGGGTCAAATTTGTCTCGCATCTTTTTTCTATACCACAACACTTTATAGAGCACGATTAAATAAGAGACAACCTAAATATTCAAGGATTATTTTAGGCTGTCAACACATCAGAATTGATGTGATCTCCTGAGATCCAAATTCAATTACAAATATATACATATATATATACCAAAATCTGTGTGAATTCATAATCTGACAAAATTGAAGCTAACCAAATATCCTTCAATAATCCAAACTAGGCCAAATATGAGATGAATATATAAGATAAGGGTTTGACCATCTAATATTGATTTACATAGAATCTAAAAAAATTATAAGATTATTACAATGACATGTATACATATATTTTGTTAGTGAATTTAACCAGACGACCCAAATCTGCCTTATCAATTATAGGTAGATTTGAGTTGGACACATTTCTAAATAAGCTTTCTTCAATCGGATTCAGCTTTGTACCTCCAGATCTAACCCACTACCTATATTCAGATTTTAATGGGATCAGATTCCAGGCCGAATATGGGTCTTTACCCAGCATGCTGACATCACTATTTAATCAAAATTCAAATGGTAAATAATAATGAAAAGATGTATATAAAAAATAAAAGTAAAAATTTAATGCTATATACAAGAATCCTTACATTGCTATGACTTGACCTTGTAGATCCATCAACGACGAACAACTTCTTCAATGGAAATTTGAGGGAGGAAGCAAGATCCTCAATTTTCAACCTCAGTTCTCCATCCGGAAGCTGTTTGACAGAACATACCACAATAAATTACCATGAAACTAAACATGAACTTGAATTGATTTCTTCAATTAAAATGGGCTAAAAAAATATTTGAAACTCACTGGAGTGAACTTGTTAAAAAGTGGCGCAATTAAAACTGGGTACACAGTCATCATCACAAGAGATAGTACAAGCATAAAACCCCAAAGATAGATGGCCAAGTAAGGACCTCCTTTCTGCAACCCAAACAAATGAACATTTTTAATCACCAACCACCAAAGTAAAACTGAAATGTCTTAATACAGTGAAAAAAATAATTGTTAGAAGTTCGTAGAGTTTATGCTCAAATAAACATGGCAATAACTTCAAAATGATACATGTAGCAACTGAATCAGGTGGACCAATCGAAACAACATTATCCCCAATAAACTGGTAAAAAGTGTCAATACTGACAAATAACAGTACCTGTACTATTACAATGATTGCTGCGACAATAGGTGGTCCAATTATAATTGCTAGGATGATTCCTTTAATCATGTCCCTAATGAATAACCATATTGTTTGCTGTATGGCATAAGGAAATGATATTTTAGACAGGTACTTCAGCAAAACAAGAGCAAGAGTGTAACAACTAAATTTTTAAGCTAGGAAATAACAATATATGAACATGACAATCAGTAATGAGAGAGTACAAACTTTGTTGAAACCATGGCGGGCCTCAATGACAAATGTTGAGTATAGAGAAAATGGCAAGTCCGTAATCTGCAAAGATTCCAAAAATAATGAATATCAACTAGTTTGAATACAATAGGAATATAGTTACTTCAATGCATACACTTATGAGGATGCACATTAATTTAAAGAAAATCATGCCAAATATGATGTATCCATTCCATCAGGTTCAGCCAAACCAGGAAAATTAGCTAGCCTTGACCTATAATAAGTTTAAACAGTTTGTGGCCAAGACACCGATCCAAATATGAGCAATCAACCAACTCATATTCAAGTATAAACCCAAACCCAACCCCAAAAAAAAAAAAACTGGTTAGAACAGTTTGTGGGCAGGACATTGACACAAATATGTGCATCCTCAACCCAAATCAACCAATTTATATTCAAGTGTCAACCCGAATATTCCCTCAATCCTCATCCTTACTAACCCATGATCTAATTACTTCATACCCAACCAGTGAATATTTTGGCAAGGAACCTGTTATCTCACACACTGCCACCTAAGAACCTCCACAGAATCTTTGGCGACAAATTTCAATATGACAATTAATAAAAAAATAAAATAGAGAGAGAGAGAGAGAGAGAGAGAGAGAAGGAAGAAGAAGAAGAAAAAAGAAAGAAATACTATGCATCAATATCTAAAACAAGTACCATCTTGTTAAGCAAATCCAGCAGAGGGTATATCCAGCCTTTCAATTGGCTACAACCCACATACAATCCCCATCTACATGTTATTGTCTAATTAAAAAAAGAAACTCCTTATGCATCACAACAAGCTTATACACATCGAAGTTCTAACTAAAGCTTCTTGGCTGCTTAAATACAATTAACATGATTCCAAAGACATAATTTGAAGAAATTCACTTTCAAAGCAGAATATGGCACATCACAAGAAGTAAACCAGACATTCATTATCTTCAGATCAAACAGAAGGTTGATATGTGCACCTGTGACCAAAACATAACACCGGCCAAAAATGCAAGGGTGTGCACTATTTCATTCTCTGCGTTGAGACCCATATACACAAGGAAGTCTCCTGATCTCTGGAGTAAAGAAGAAAAATTAGATACAAAGAATAGTGTTGCAGTACAACCAATCCATAATCTAACAACAAGCCACTCACCTTCCAAAACCAAGGCAATACCCCAAAAAACAAAATTGCAGAGTCCATCAGTATAGTTACGAACTCATGAACAAAATGGAAGTGGCTGAAAGTTAAAAAAGGCAAATCAGAGCACAACCAAAATAGCTATATTAGTGAATAGCACAGGTAAAAAAATAATAAATGAGGAAACTTGTGACCAAATAAAAAACAACAAAACCTTTTATCAAGACTATAGGCTCGAGATTTTTCAAACTTTTCTTGGCTAATAAGTCCTTCCAAAGTCTTGGGAAGCGTTGGTAGTTTAAGAGCAGCATGTTGCCGCAAATCGAGATAAGTTTCGAAGATATACATTAATATCATAAAACCTGGACAACCACAAAAGACAGCAATAGTTAATTAAAAGGTACAGCAATCATAACCAACGATTGTTATAAACCATTGATACACAGGGACAAGGGATTTCCAACTGTAGACAATGCAGTCATCAAGAATTACATCTTCACATAAATTATAAATTATACACCAAAACAATACATCAACAAAGAAAGGAAAGGAAAGGAAAGGAAACATGCAATAAACTGCCGTAACCGTTAACAAAATTTACATATCCACGTGGTATGTACTCATACTGTGCAGTCAGTAGGCCTACAAAATCAAACTACTAAGGCTGCTTCCATATTCCTTTGCCTGCTCCAACAATTGAAATTTGCAGGGTAATAACTACTATATCCATTGATTTCATTAAGAAATTTGTATTAATCAGATATCCTTTTAAGTCACTGTTTTGGGTTCATAAAGGAAGGTATCATCTTTATGATTAAATAACAAACCACATAGATCTTTGGAACGTCTCATGAATCTTTACTGTTAAATTTCCCTATTTCAGAGTAAAAATTGTCATAACATCACGTTTCTGAGCAAAACCAAACCAAACCAAAGAAGGGGGGGAAACAAAGCTAGAATTTTTCAATTCAATATGAACATAAGAAGGGTTAAATTGACCAAAGCAGAAAGTTAATAACACAAATGAGAAAATGAAAACAGAAAAACAGAAAAACAAAAAATAAACAAAAACCCTAATGTGTATATCATAAAACCTTCAATAATTAAGCAAAATATCAACTAAAACCGTGAATAAAAACCTGAAACAGAACGATCGATAAAGCCCTAAAAGAATGATAAACAATTAGAAACATACTTTGCACAAAAGACACGCAACAGAGAGAGAGAGAGAGAGATTTAACCATACCGACTACGGCTTCCATGTACGGAAACGCCATGGCTGGTCCAGTGGTTGTAGACTTCACGGGTAGAGAACACTATAGAGAGAGAGAGAGAGAGAGAGAGAGAGATTTGGGATATTTTTCTGATGTGGTGAATTTTGGATTTTAGACTTTAGAGCTATATAGTGAAAATGATGTACCATGGCAAAGGTAATATACAGATAAAGGAACAAAAATATATGAATCAAAAAAAAAAAAGAACAAAAATATAGATAAAATATATGAATCAAAAAAAAAAAAAGAACAAAAATATAGATAAAAGAACAAAAATTTATATTTAATTAATGATTATTGTAAAATAAATATATTTATTAAATATTTGATTAATGATTATTGTAAAATATATTTGATTAAATATTTGATTAATGATTAAAATTTGTTGCATATTGTTGAGGACATAATGAATATATTGATTAATGCATATTCTTTATGTGGCTGTCTATAATTTTATATTTTAAAATTTTGTAGGGGAAATTATTATTCAATGTAAATTTTAAAAAATTATTACATATTAGTGAAAAAATTATAATATTAATTATTAATTTTTTTAATTTTTTTGTAATTACTTTTTTATTGAGAAAGTGTCAGTGTAGTTCCCCCAATTTTGTATCAATTGGTTGACATTATAGTTTATGTTTACATTTTATGAGGTATAATTAATTAAAAAAAAAAAAACAATGCAGGGTAAAAGATCCAAAAAATTTGAAAAACATAGAGGGTGCAACTCTTTGTGTGGGGGAGATGCAACTCAAAAGTTGTCCTTTTATGTTTGTGTAATTTTTATTATCTATTTCACTGACATGTAATTCTTTTAATTAATTTACATAATTTGACTAAAAATAAATAATTTACATAAGTTAAATGTAATGGCATAAGTTAAATGTAATGGATTATTGAGGAGTTGAATAATGGCCCTGTTTGGTAGAGCTGTGGGAAAGTGCTTATAGCTTATGCCTAAACAGCTTATAGCTTATAACTTTCAGCTTAAGCTGATTTCCAGCTTATTCGTAAAGCATCTCCTGCCCCACTCAAAGAATAAGCTGTTTTCTGACTTCCATAAAGCTATAAGTTATAAGCTATAAGCTAAACCAAACACATCAAAATAGCTTAAATTAAGCTGAAAGCTGAAATAAGCTGAACTTAAGCTGTACCAAACAGGGCCAATGGGTGTTTTTAAATTTTATTTTTTGATCATCATTTTTTATTTTGCAAAAATTTGTACCAAAAGCCAGACACTAATAATGCGTGATGTAAAGTAAGGTTCAAAAGCAACATTAAAAATGGCAATCCCAAAACAATACATGAGACACTCGTTATTTCAAGGGGAAATTACTGTTTAGTATAAATTTAGAAAAAAAAAATCAATAATAAATTTTACAAATATTAATAATTAAAAATTTAACATTTTTATTTATATAAAAATATTATCTTTTAAATCCATTCATTTGTCAAATATACACAATTTTACCTTCACATATGAAGAAAATATTTTCATAATTTAAACTCGGGACATCAAGATTATTCCAACAAAACAACCTTACCACTGTGTCAAAACCCATCATTAATTTTGATTTTTTTTAAAATAAAATACACTAACCTCCATTAATATAAAAGAAATACAAAAAGTCTTACAACTTTGTATAATTACATTGACCACCATTTTATTAATAGTAAAAAGGCTAAAACCAATGCATATAGGGGTGAGCAACGGATATACCGATCCGCCAAAACCGACCGAACCGAACCGATCCGCCACATTTTGGACGGATGCGTGATGATGAGCGGACGGTTGCGGATTGATTTTCTCCAATCCGCCAATTTGGCGGACGGATGGCGGATTTGAGATTTTTTGGCCGCAACCGAACCGCCAAACCGCCAAATCGCGAGCACCTGTAGTAATTTATAAGACTTTGTATTTTCAATTTGTTTAAATATTATGTTTGTGTTTTCAATTGAAAAAAAGTTTAAATATTTTGTTGAAAAAAAGTTTTCAACTTGAATATATTTTTGAATTGAAAAAATAAACATATTATTCATCTATATTTTTTAGTTTTTAAATCTAACTCTAAAAATAATAAATAAAAAATATGATATATGCTGGTTGATTTTTGTTTTCAAAAACATATGTAGATGTAACAATATAGAGACATTCAACCTCTACTACTGCTCTGTTTATGGTTTTGGTGGTTTGAATTGTTATTATATTTTAAGAATCACAGATTGTAATACTTTATAGGGATGAATCATGCTGTAATTGTAATATGTGGATGAAGCATACAGTGATCGTGATATTCTAAAGTTTCAAACTTTCTTTCTTTGGATAAGGCATACAGTGATTGTAATACATTTTTAAGTCATTGACTGTAATACTTTTTTTTTTCTTTTTTTTTAAGGAAGTGCACAAATTGAATTATGTTGAAAATTTATAAAATTTTAAACCGCCAAACCAATTCGCATCCATCCGCCAAACCGCCAATCCGCTAAATCCACATCCGCCGGATTGGCGGACGGATGCGGATTGATTTTCTTCAATCCGCCAATCTGGCGGACGGATGGCGGATTGGAGGTTTCGTGGCCGCAACCGACCCGCGCGCCACCCCTAAATGCATATGAAACACATACATAAACAAACAGACAATAATTTTGTTTTTTCTTTTTTTTTTTAATACCCAACTATACCCCTCATCTTTTTTACTCTCCATTATCATCATCTTCAAAGCAACCTCTCAGCTCAAACCTGCAAACAGGACAAGTGTTGTGGATTCGCAGCCATAGAACAATGCAATCACCATGATACAAGTGTTTACACGACATCACTCTCGCTTCCTCTCCCACCTCAAACCTTTCTCTGTAAATCGGACAATTCGAATCACTGATTAGATCAAATGCCCGTCAGATTCACAATCGATATAGCTTGAATCGCCGGAATCGGCACCAAAGGAGGCCCTCACCGATCAATCTCCGTTGGCGAAAAACTAGTTTTTTGAAATTCGAAAACGATCCAAACTTATAGATTTTTCTTTATTACTTCATTTTCACTTTTATTTAGAGGGATTGATGTTGATTGGTCAAGATTTGAGCTAGGGTATCAAGTGGCGGCGGAACAGCAAGGTCACGACGGAAATGGGAGATGCAACGGAGGCAGAAGAGACGAGAGTGGTATGGAGAAGGGATTCTGATTTATCATTGGCAATGACAGCACCAGAAGTAATTTGAGTTCGCATTCTTTGAACCCCATTGACGATGAAGCAAGAGCGGTGGATCAAGGACATGGTTTTTGTAATTGAATTTGAATTGAGTTTGTTGGGAATTTGATTTTTATGGGAGTGAATAAGGAAATAGAGAAGATAAGAAGTTTTTATATATGTATGGGTTTGATGAACAGAGGTGAAGAAGAAGAAGAATAAGGAGGATGAGAGAGATGCAATGGTAGCAAAATCATCGGAGATGGAAAGAGAGGTCGCCGGTGACAGTGGCAATGGTGGTCACCGATGGAGATGGTGGGGTAAGGTCTAGAAAATTAGGGTTAGGGTTAGGGATAGAGTTTGGAAAATTAGGGTTAGAAAGTTAGGGATGAGGGTAAAAATATAACTTTATGTTTGGACAAAATTGGAATTAAAAAAAAAAAAAAAATGGAAGGTCCAAAGAAGAAAGATAGGTGCTAATAACAGAACTCTTTTTTTATTCTATCAATTTAACTAACCAAGTACTGATAAAAAATTAGTCAAGTGTTATATTAAGTATAACTTTAATTGAACCCAATGTAATCTCCATCAAATTAGTTATTTTTATTTTTTAGCTAAAACAGTGAATAAATAATTTCACCTCTATCAAACTAGTTATCAAGTTAGCCATTTTAATTTAGATAAATTACAAATACACCCCTTAAGATTTGCTTAAAATACGAATTGCCCCCTGTAGTTTGGAAAATTACAAATACCTTCCTGTCATAATTTTTTATTTAACAGAATTAATCGAAAAAGTGAAATTTCTCACAGTTCACCTATACAATAATAAAATTATCTGAATTATTAATTGAAATAAAATTTTAATATTATTAAAAACTGTTAATCAACTTGATGATTTATTAATAAAAGGATCTATTTGTTATGAAATTATAAATCTTAGGGGGCATAATATAATTTCCAAAACTACAAGGGATAATTTGTAATTTAAGTAAATCTCAGAAAGTGTGTTTGTAATTCTCAGGAGTGTGTTTGTAATTTAACCTTTTAATTTTGGTAGTTTTGACTCAACAAATGTAACTATTAGAGGGTGTTTGGGTAACCTATATTAGCATACTTTTTTATATTTTTATTTTTTTTGGATCACATCACCTCTCTACTTTTTTACACATCTTTTTAGAAGAAATCAAAAAATATACTTATTTAGATCATCCAAAATAACCCATTGGTTTACCCTCACCAAACATTAAAAAATTATTACTTTATATATTTTGGAATTAATTGTGTTGAGTTTATAAAAAATAATTTCAAATTAAAATGAATAAAATAATATTTAAATAGTATAGAGAAATACTAGAGAGTTTGTTGGAGAATGTACTTAAAAAGATGTAAAACCAAAATAAAAAAAGTAACTTCTATGTTAAAATATATCAAAAATTTAATTGATTTGATGTTAATGCTTTAATTATGTTAAACTTGTGAGCCTTGCTGTATTTTTTCAAATTTTTTAAAAAAGTTAGTATAATTTATCTTTAGAAAAATTACAAAGATTTGACTCTTATAACAAAATAAGCTTTAAATTTTTTATTTTGCCAATTCATATCCTAAATTTTTTATTTATTTTAATCTAAATCATTTGTCTATTTTTATTAAGTAAAATCGACTAAAAAAATATTATTTTAGTTATTAAACTCAATAAAAAAATGTATTTTAGATATTTTATCTGCCCCTATATTTAGTTGAATGACTAAAATACTATTTTTTTCATTGATTTTACTTAACAAAAATAGACAAATGATTTAAATTAAAAATAAATTAAAAGATTATGATTTAAATTGATGAAATTAAAAATTCAATATTTATTTTTTTACAGTACTCAATCCTTTTTTCTTTTTCTTTTTTGTAGTTATCCCTTTATCTTTCTTTTTAAAAATAAATAAATA